CGCCGGGAGCGGCAGAGGCCGCCCGGCCTCCGTGAGGCGCATGGCAGGGCACCAGAGAGCGACCCCTTTCAAACTGCGCTTGCGCGAGTTTGTTGTCTGCACTACTGCATTGAGATCAACAGGAGCCAGCAGGGACCACACGGCCTGCAGTGCGCATGCGTCACTCAACCGGCTGCAGTACCGCAGGCTACCCACCAGAGGGCAGCAGTAAGCACGGCAGGCGGCTGTGCCCCTAGACGAGTCCCGGGCACACGCAGTACTGGGCCGTAGCGGAGAGGCGGCAGCAGCGTAGCACGGGCGGGCACTCTCCGCCTGCACGAGACCTCTGCGTGCACCACGGCGTCCGCTTTCCGTTGGCCTGCGCGGAACCGTTCACCGATTGGCCAGAGGGACGGGGTGGGGAGGGGGCGTGCGGGCCGGGCTGAGGGGACTGCGAGCTGCCCCCGCTCCCCGGCCGGGCCTGCGGTGTCCCGAATGCCTCTGGGAGTCTCCCGTGTCCTGGGGTGATCGAGGGCCAGTGGGAGTTTTGGGACGAGGCTTGGGTACTGTCGGGTGGCCACTGGGAGCTCTGGGGACCCTGCGTCAGGCTGTGGCATGTTTTAGTGTTGATGGGAGCTTTGGGGCAGGGTTTGGATAGCGGGGGGGGGCAGTTGTAAGCTTTGGGGCAGGGCTGGATGAGTTTGGGGGTTGGTGGAAGTTTTGAACAGCTCAAAGCTCCGAGGGCCTTTGTGCAGGTATTTGTTTGCATTCTCCTGACTGCTCTTGCCTTGTGATAGCTCGTAAAGGTCTGCAGATAATAGCCTGTAGTTCTTTGTGGCAGTGTGTGGTCATTCCCTAATGTTCTAGGGTAAATGCAATTTATAAACACATATATATCATTACGGTAGGATGTTAAAGCCAGACTAAACATTTCTGCAACTGCAATAAACCTCTTCAAGTCAGACAAAATCAGCTGTACTCACCAGTGCCTAGGGCTCAGTCAAGGCTAGCAGCTGCTCCTAAGCGATATTCTTCCACGTATCTCAACTCCTCAGTCTCAACTCGGACTCTGTATACAGCATTGTAAGTTTGTCAGCGCTTCGTGATGGAGATGTAGCAAATCCATCACCCTACAGAAACATAAAGGAAGCAAAAATCAATGTTCTGCAGAAAAACATTAAAAAATAAAGGTAGTATATAAGTGTATAGGCCAATCTAATATGTACAAGCAAGGTAAATGAGAATATACAAGCCACAAATACACCTCCCACTCGCCCCATTTTAGGGGCAGAATAGGATTATATTTGGACTTCTCATACGAGAGAAAGAGGAGTAGTTAGATTAGCCTAACAAGCCTTTAGAGGTTGATTTTTCTGGAACTTTGTGTCTACATTTTGGATGTAACTGTGCTCTGCCCGTTGTTCAGGTAACGCACAGGCGAGATGATCCACTTCTTATAACACCTGTACAGTAATCCCTATATGTTAATATTAGTGCCCACTTGGGTGGATAGTACTCTGCTGCCTACTCATTTCCCTGAAATTAAGTACTTCAGGAGGGTGTAAGCAGACTGGATTGCAACCAGGCTATCAAGGGCGAAAGACTGCTATAGTCCAGACTGCTACTAAACAGTCTCTCTCAGAGCAGATGAAGTCTTGATCCAACCCCAAAGTAACCCAATTCCAATGCTGTTGGTACTCACTTTCACTCACTTCTGCTTTGTAACAGTGCCTCTCCCATAGTATCAGTGAATGTGAAAATCCTTATTGTAAAAGGCTTTCCTTGTCTGAGGAATTTTAAGGCAGGAGTTTTTACAACTGCCTATTTAAATTTAGTGAAAGCAGCAGCATGTTCCTTGTTCCAGCTCTATTCCAATCCTTTCCGGTAATTTTCATCGCAGTCTGCTGATACTAGCAGTTACCTTATTCTCCTAAAGCTCCTTTAAATTGGAGTTGAGAAGAAGAAACTTTTATTCCACATAAAGCTTTAATCTTTCTTCTACCTATCTGTCTTCCCATTTCCCCAGTTACAATTCCTGGGGTAACACTAATTGAGCCTTACTGAAATTGACCTCTCAACTTTATAATTTAGATAGTTCTCCCACTTCCTCTTCCGTAGCCTCGGTCACTTGACAACCATCTACCTAGGATAATAACTTGGTACCTTGTAGCTTTTAAAAGATAATGCTTCATCACACAAAAATACATGTGTATGTATCATACTTCATGTTACATATACAGTCTTTGCAGTACATGTTGGTGAGCTATTCTCCTAATCACCAGGAGAAACTTGGTTTCTATCGTTGGGAGATGGAGGTAGCTTTCAATTGGATCTATTTGATTTTATTACTTTAGCTTGTTTATATTTGTCTGGTGTCTTCAACTTCAGCCATGACAATCTAAAAACTAAGCATGGTATCTTTCTGTTTTAACATATGTATGAAAGAGTACAAACAGAACCATCCAAAGCAAGCCCCTAGTTCTATCAATCTTTTAACTACCTACAAGATGGATGACATTTAATGAGCTTCCAGGAACCATAGGCCATTATTCAACCAAAACCAGATCCATAGATGAAAGAACAGTGTAGACCCTCTCAGTTACCAGTACCTAAATTCAGGTACTCCTCTTACAAAAGCCTGTATAGCACTGTTGTTATTATTGGGTAATGCTCAGTGGAGCAATAGTATACAAAAGAAGCACTGATATACTTATAGTCATTCCAGAGGGTTCATCTCACTGTCCTCCTTCCAAAAATGTTTATAGCATTGAGTTTGCTGACCAAAAAGTCACCAAAAAACCCAGGTACCCCTCATGCCTTAACAAGTGAGTGAGCTAGTTTACACTGGTGGACTTTCATTGGTAATTAATGCTATTCTGTCAGAACGACCAGCACAAAACTGCCTCCAAATGTAATTTCAGTGTGACAGCTACAGTACTTAGCCCAGGATCCTCTCTATAGCTCGTCACCTGTTTGAGACACTGTACTTCCCTCGTTTAGCTCATTTGTGTGACCTGATGCACTTCATAATGCAGAGATTTGTAATAGAAACATTCAGGCTGAAATGAACAAATTACACTCAGAAACATGTATGAAAGCACCAGAAGAAATGACAAGATAAGAAGGGACAAAAGAATGGCTTGACTTGACAGCACCAGCAGGTCATTGAGATCACAGTCAGATTCTTGAAACACACAGACTGGGAAAACAAAGGACAGCCTAAAACTAAAGATAGACAACTCACAGGAGAAAGAAGGACAGGCAGTCAATCAACAGCATTGCTTAATGACTCGTGGACCTGGGTCCCTGAAGAGTACAAAAGGCACTTCCAAAATGAGCACATGGTCACCCAGCAACAAGAATGCAGGAAACATGATGGTGACTCCAAATCTGGCATCCTTTGTCCTCTGTTTCACCACAGATAATCCTGGTTGGACTAGCCAGACATACACATCTTCATCCTTGTTACAATGTGGGTATGGAAAAGAAGTATGAAAGACTGACTAAATGAAATCTATAGGAGAATGAGCATGAGTGACTGAAATCAGTTTTGTTTAAAATAAAATCACCTCCCCCTTCTATACAGTCTGACATTTAGCTTTGCTATATTCATTTTACATCAGTAGCTGCTCCCAGTTGATTATTTAAAAATTTCAATAAAACCTAATAGCGTGTGCTTACAGAAGAACGTCAAAGAAGAGAGCGAGCTATTTAGGGAAGTGAGGACACAGCAAGTTTGAAATAGCTTGCCTTTTTGAGGCAATACTTTTTTCCCTCTTTTGCCCAAAGGAAGAGACTTGGCACACTTACAGTTTCTGCCGTTAGACCAATAACTTCTTACTTCATGGTTCACAAAGAAGAAATAACTGTTAGAACAAGTTAGTTTCTCAAAACTAGCCCCGAGTATGAAATTACAGGAAATGTCCTAAATGTTTTTGTACAGTGATACATGCACAACTGTGCTAATATAGGCAACCTGAACAGAGGGAGGCCAAGAAAATGAATATTTCTGTTTACCTGAATACATGAGGCTTAGAAACCATATTTCAGATGCAAAGCATGAATTTCAGGTTAAAAAACCCTGTAGATTTCATGGCTTCTCAGAGTGCTACTGAATATTTTAAATTCAATGGAAAGAAAAAAGACAGAATCATTTGCAGAATCATTTGCCATAGTCAATGTTGTTATTGTTAATACTAGCAGCAGTAGGTTAAAAATTGGGGGATATTTGGTACCGGTGACCTGTTCTTTCCCTGTGTAGCCACCGAGTCATGCCAATGATTATTCTGTTAAACGCAAAGGATAAATTACTGCAGTATCATTTATTATGAGGTTATTTGCTCAAAACACTTCCAAAGGGAAACATTATTCCAGTATTTTTATCATAAAAGACATGATTAAATAGGACAAAAGGGCTGACAGTAATGTACTGGGATGGGACTTAGGATATCACATTACTTAGACTGTCAAGTCATGGCACCTATCTTGCCAGTTTCCCCAGCTATAAAACAGCGATACTATTCACTACAGATACTAACTTTAAAAAAAAAGAAAAGTTCAAGGTAAGCTGTGTTACGGATGTTCTTGCTATGAAATTATTATGCTTCCAGGGACACAAAATGGATAGTTTCAAAGCCATAATATCTGCAAATAAGAACATGTTACTTACCCATGTCCCTTCCCCTCTTTCTCAGTGAAATGTGGCTTCAGACTTTCAAAAGTAAATCCTGTCCAAAACAGTCAGTTTCTGCTGTTGAACCTATCTCATGGTTACAAGTGAGAGCAGCCACCATTCTCTTACAATGGAAAGCACTTGTCTTCTTGTACAGCTAGAAAAGTTTCATTTGCCTCATTCATAAAAAGAAACAAACAAGGCAGCTTCTTTAATGTTTTAATTCTTCTTTAAATCTACAATGAGGCTCACTTAACTCTCTAAAGTGCAAATATAGGCTGATCTATTGCCTCGGAAATAGTCCTCAGAAAGTCCCTTGGTTTGATTATCGTGTTTCTTGCTCACCGATCTCTCCCCAAATCCTGTTCACTCTTTTTACTCCAGTCAGACTCAGATTCAGTCTAGTTTGGGAACTAAATGGATTATACTCTATTTTAGGCATAGTCATGCATTCCAAACTGACTGGATGCTTTATTGCTGGAGGAATTAAAAACAAGCACAGGATGGCCTCAAAGCTAAGTAAGATGCCACACTGGTGGCCCGGAATGTCTTCAGTCTGATTTGAAACTGAGAAAAGTTGTGTGGCTGTGGGTAAAGATGAGCTACAGAGGCAGCACTTGTGTACAGTGCTAGATTCTGCAGAACAGGTTTGGTTAGTTTAGGTTAATGCTATGCCAGTGACTGGGGAGAAAACCTTCTCAAAACTGTGATACAGTGTTTGTAGCCCCATATACTGTGGGCATGACCTGTTCCTTGGCACTCACAGATTCCAAAGAATTCTCTTTTAGAGACAGCATCAGACACAGTTATCCACTATGGAATATACAATGAACTCCTAACTATCTAGTTATAGCCCTTCTAAACGTCCAAGTGCCTGTCTGACTGCATCTGCTGCAAGAAAATAGAGTAAGTAAAGGGACAGAGATGCACGATACAGCTGTGGGGAGCACCTAGGAGAAAAAGGACTGCTGGTGTGAGAGGAGGTATGGATGGTAACCACTGCTTCTGGGAGAAGCATCCCTTACTCCCGCAGTAGTTGCCACCCCTGACAGCAGGGTCTATCCTGCTTGGCAGCAGTAACAACTGTTGTAACTTTTCCAGCACTCTGATGCAAAAAAAGACAGCATCTTGCTGACTCCCCAGCACCCTCTGTCCTTGGCAGTTTCCTGCTTTGCCGACTGTTAGAGCTGGACCTGAAGTCCAGCTCTAACCAGTCCACTGCCAAAGGAGCTGGCAAATTGTGGAATGTTACCTGAAACATCCTAGTTATGCACAGCCACAGTGTATAGCACTACCTGATTTTCTGCTAAAAGGAGAAAATGTCTAGTTATGAGTCAAAGGATTTGTGGACAGAGATGCAAGCATTTAGTTCCAGGTGAAGTACTGCTTTAAATTCTTAGGACAAATTCAGCATTGCCAAAATACCAATGCTATTCTAGTGGTACTGTTGCTGTAGCTGTAATGGTCCA